GAATATTTTGCGACATTGGCTGATCAAAATTGTAAAATATAGGTTGTTTCCACTTTTTAAATAGTCCTCGTGCCATAATAAACTGACATGTTTTATGAGAACCATATATTTTTTGTTCCTTTCTTTCAATGTCTAATTTATTTGAAATATATAATTCATCGAAAGTTAGTTAACTTGTCGATTGTATTAAAATTATGTCCTTTCTCTTTCATGATTTTTAATACGTCTTTTAAAATGCCGGAACATTAAAAGCTGCACACCAGTTTTGCAAGGTTGTCATGCACGGCAGTGATATATTTTTTACCTCTTTTAAATAACGATAAGCCTTTGGACTTAATGATCGGAGGCCGATTGCAGATATAATTGTTCTTCCATCAGGAGTTGTTCTTCCTCTGATAGAAATTGTGAGCATGTTTGTATATCTTCGGATGACCATTTGATCCGTTTGTTATTGGGTGATATTACTTTTTTTATTTGACCAGCTGTAAATATTTTGCGCAAGAATTCGGTAGCTATTTTTTCGGCTTCCTTCTGCATATGTACAATTGTTTCTCTAATAATACGAGATTTTTCCTCCACGCTTGTTTGCAACTGTTCTACTTGTTTACATAGTTGTGTATTTTTTTCAACAAGTTCTTGATTCCTTTTTATCAATTTATTTATTTCTATTGAGAGCTTTTTTTTCTTCCTCTATTTCCGTCAGCAAATTCAGTAACGTTTTTACAGAGACATTTTCGTGATCAACAATTTTATTTCTGTAAAACGTAATAGCATTTTAATAATACTATTATATATAATATTATTTATTTACTTTATTTATTTTTTAATTTTATTTATTTATTATTTATTTTAATATTTTTTGTAATAGTATTGTAATAAAACTAGCTCTACTATTATATTTTGTAATAGTACTATTACATATAACATTATTTATTTATTTATTTTTCTGTAAAACGTAATAGCATTTTAATAGTACCTACTATTATATATAATATTATTTATTTACTTTATTTATTTTTTAATTATTTTTTAATTTTATTTATTTATTATTTATTTTAATATTTTTTGTAATAGTATTGTAATAAACTAGCTCTATTATTATATTTTATTTATTTTCACTTATGCTATTTATTATTTGTTCATTTTTAATTTAATTTATCTATTATAATTATTATATTTATTTCAATATATGTTATAAATATACATATAAATATATAAATATATAAGAATGATATAAATAAATATCGAACGACATCGAAATAATATTTAGGTATGAATGTAATAACAAAAGATAACAAAAAATAACAAAATTAATAAAGAGAAATTCAAGTTCGACTGAATCGCGACAGAGTCCAGCAAAATTACAGTTAAGTAAAGGCGGTGATTTGCTAATGAAAATTTTAAAGATCCGAGATTCTTCTCGACAATTGAGTGAAATCAGTGTAGGATCAGATGAATATAAATACATACATAAAATAAATAAAAAAATTATTTATTACACAAATATACCATATAATACATATTATAAATAAATATCATTATAAATACATACATATTATATATGAATAAAAAAATAAATATTAGATATTATAAATCCAGATTAGGATTACGATGAATATAGGATTCATATCATATATTAATAATATAAATAAAAAAAATATCGTTTAATAAAAGTTATATAAATATATATATATATATATATATACTGTGACGTTGCAGCCCGCTGCAGCGGAGCAGCGTCCCGCCGCCGTCACAAGGGCGCGGGTTCGTGCTCTTTTGTCGGACCGACAGCCGCGTCATTTTGAGTTAGACCGAGATCTCCGGGAGGCCCGCATTTAAATCGCGTATCGTTTAGT